AGAAATGTCATTTTAAGGGATTTTGTAACATGGTGGAGATTGTATTATTCTTTCCATTTTAAGAACTGATTTGTTTCATTTTCATTAACAATGAATCTTTCGGATTACGTTACAGATGAGACGGTTGTACTGGCTTTCCAGCATTACATCGTTATGCTCGGGACTACTGTTTTGATTGCCAACACACTAGTGCCACCAATGGGTGGAGATGCTGTATGTTTTGTTTTTTGGTTTTTGGATCCGGTTGTCGAATATTTATTTTATTATATGATTCTGAAATCGACCGTTTGGTATTTTGAACGATAACAGGGTGATAAAGCGCGGGTTATCCAGACTATATTGTTTATGTCGGGAATTAACACGTTGCTACAAACGCTTATAGGGACAAGGCTTCCAACGGTTATGGGAGTTTCGTTCGCGTATGTTCTTCCTGTATTGTCTATAATCAGAGACTACAATGATGGTCAATTTGATTCCGAGAAACAGGTTAAAGCTCATTTAATACGTGCGCGCTACGTTTTCTTGTTTTTAACTAGACAAATGCCATTTTCCTTATAGAGATTCCGACATACTATGAGAACCGTTCAAGGATCACTAATCATTTCTTCATTCGTCAACATCATAATCGGATATGGTCAGGCATGGGGGAACTTAATAAGGTAATATATAAAAAAAATTCAATATAATTTTGCTGGTTTAGAAGCTAATGAAAGTTCTAACATTTAATGAACTTGGTTTCTTTAATGCAGAATCTTTACTCCCATCATTGTTGTACCAGTTGTTTCCGTTGTGAGCCTTGGCCTGTCCTAGAGGCTTCCCATTGGTAACAATTTCATATAAAATTTCAGCTTTAGCAACTTTGAACGACTTTCCTAAGTCATTATGTGATCTTTTGGGCTTTTTACAGCTTGCAAACTGTGTTGGAAATCGGTCTACCAATGCTGATTTTGTTGATCATCTCACAGCAAGTTCGGCTACTTTTTTTGTTTTCGTACTATATACGTTAGTGATTGTTTAGATGTATAATATTGAATCTTGCTGTCCATCTTGCAGTATCTTAAAAGTGTCTTCTCAAGGATTTCTGCGATACTTGAAAGATATGCTTTACTTGTTTGCCTGGCTATCATATGGGCTTTTGCTGCTATCCTTACTGTTTCTGGTGCGTATAACAATGTTTCTACTGCGACAAAACAAAGTTGTCGCACGGATCGTGCCTTTCTTATGTCAACAGCTCCCTGGTAGGTTGATTAATGACTGTTTTTTCTTGATTTTTCTTTTCTTCTGAGGCTAAATATCTGTATAGTCAGTGACTCAAACTCATTTTGCAGGATTAGAATCCCATATCCTTTCCAGTGGGGGACTCCGATATTTAAAGCTAGTCATGTTTTTGGAATGTTTGGTGCTGCGATTGTCGCATCTGCAGAGGTACAAATTTATGACCTGTAATTAATATACATCAGTATTAGTTTCTAGCTACAGATTGTTCTTATATTATGCACATCCCATTTTTCTAGTCTACCGGTGTATTTTTCGCTGCATCTAGACTAGCAGGAGCAACAGCGCCTCCAGCACACGTTGTTTCTCGTAGTATCGGGCTACAGGTTTTATTCCCAGACATTAAGATAGTCTTTTTATCTTTTCATTTTCTGTCGCTCTTCTAATGTTCTGAATACGGCTATAAGTTGTTATATTTTCCTTATAGGGTATTGGTGTGCTCCTTGAAGGAATATTTGGTTCCATTAGTGGCAATACCGCTTCGGTGTAAGTTCTAAGTACCTCTCTTCGCTACATGTTCTACTATCCTTTCAGAATATCTACAAAGGAAGTATTTCTCATCTTGATGATATATATACAGGGAAAATGTCGGTCTCCTTGGCCTCACACGAATAGGGAGTAGACGAGTGGTGCAGATTTCAACGGGTTTCATGATATTTTTCTCCATATTTGGTTAGTCTTTCAACCCCCAATCAGTCATCTTGACTAAGTTCAGTTTATAGAAAGTAGCCGTTCTTGGCTTTAAATCCTCGTGTTTTCAACAATTTTCAGGAAAATTCGGCGCCTTCTTTGCGTCTATCCCGCTTCCAATCTTCGCAGGCATATACTGTATACTACTTGGAATTGTTGGTGAGTAGCATTTTCTCTATGAATCTACACTTCTTGATTTCTCGCAAAAGTCGGGGATGCTTAATTCTGATACTATTGTTATGTGATTGGCGCAGTTGCTGTTGGAATATCGTTTATACAGTTTACTGACACCAATTCAATGAGAAACATGTACGTCATCGGTGTCTCTCTCTTTTTAAGTCTTTCCATCGCTCAGTACTTTCTTGCCAACACTTCAAGAGCAGGATATGGACCGGTTAGAACAGCAGGTGGATGGGTAAGCATTTCAAAAAATCATTGTTTTAAACACCAATTAACTGTAGTATATAATGTTTATTTTTCTTAATATGATGTCGTGGTGACTTGTGGTGCAGTTCAACGATATACTTAACACGATATTTGCTTCGGCTCCTTTGGTGGCAACCATTCTTGCGACCATACTAGATAACACGTTGGAAGCAAGACATGCAAGTGAGGCAAGAGGAATCTCATGGTGGAAGCCCTTCCAGCACAGGAACGGAGACACCAGGAACGATGAGTTCTATAGTATGCCCCTTAGAATCAACGAGTTAATACCGACGCGGTTCCTTTGAAACCCCTGAACGTTTCTTCTGTGTTTGGAAATGTAAGATATGTGCATATCTTGTAGCTTCATTGGGGAAAGATTGAGTCCAATGGATACAAAATGAACATAGGCCTTTGATGGAGAAAGCTATTTTACAAACTATAACTTGTGTTACTAGATTTTACTTTACCTTTCCTATCATTAACTTTACCTTTTGGACAAGTGTTCATACTTCATATACAAACTTACATTATTCTTTTTCCATTCATTATCTTAAGTCTCGCGTGTTAGATTCAATCACTGTGGTTATATTATGGATAGCCTTTTTTCTTGTATCCAAGAAAAACAAGTATATATTTGAAGAATGCTTACTGAATTAGGTAATCATGTCTTATTAGACAACCACACTATTTATTATTACTGTTATTACTAGATAAAAACCTACGCTACGGCGGTAGTTAACTCTCTAGGCGGTAGTCGGGCGGCGGATCACTGTATAGCGCCTAACTGTATATGCGGCTGTGTATGTTGGTATATATGGTAAATATATTTTTACAATTATATATATATATATATATATAAATGATTGCAGGATCCCAAACATTGCAGGAGCCTCAATCGGATTTAAACTAACGGAGCGTCAATCGGAATTGAACTCAAGCATTTATGATCGTTGCTTTCGGATCAAGTAATAGCTGAAACTGATCAAATCTGAAAACCTAAAAAGCAGTTCTGAGTGGGCTTCTTCAAGGCGACGTTTGGAGGTTTAAAAGTAATCAGATCGAGTTGAAACTTTGTGGAGGTTTTAATGGTACTGCAAGCTAAGAATTCAACAGTGGGATTACATTTGCAACTGTTAGCTCCTTGTTTATTAGTGTGTTTCCGAGACTTTTTGCGTAGAATAAATTGTGAGTTTGGATTGTTGTTTGGGTAAACGAGCTTGGCTTGAGCCCAAACATTGCAGGAGCCTTTAAGACTCTTATAATTATGTTTTGGTTGATAGAGAGCCAAGGTGAAGTTCAATAGTATGTGGTTGAGGCAAGGTAGTAATTTGTTTAAAGGAGAAAGGAGAAGAGACTAGTTCTTCATCTTCAATTAGGCTAAAGTGACAGTAGTATTTGTGGATCCGCATTAACCCCTTTCCTTATATACTCTTCGACAGTTGCTGAGTATAGGCTCGAGAATTGTCTTTGTTGATTTATGTGAATTTTTGTGTATGATAAAGCTAAGTTGTTAATAATATGATATGTGAAATACATTAGTGACATGATTTGATATCATGTTTTACGTATATTAAATTATAAAATGATTATGTCTATGTATGAGAAGAGAAAACTAAAGAGTATGAGAAGGATACTTGAGGATGTTGGAGTGTAGTGGACCGACGAGTTCATTGCAGGTCATTAACCGCTGACGAGCAGGGGAAGAATCGAGCTTCGGGCCGTGGTCTTCCATAAGTAGGTTTGAGTAGCCATAAGTTATAAAAAGCTTGAATATCCATAAGTTAAAATACTTGAAACTAAAAATGTAAGTAAAATATCTTGTTGTGAGCAAGGCGAATGCTTGTTTGTTTGATTGATACCAGTATTCTAAAATACGCTAAGCGGTAGTCGGGCGGCGGATCACCGTATAGCGCCTAACTGTATATGCAGCTGTATATGCTGGGTATATACGGTAAATATATTTTTATAATTGTATATATATAATATATAAATATATTGCAAGTATATATAATATCATTAAAAAAAAATTGTTTGAGTGAAAAGCTCTAAACAAACAATTGTCAAAAGAAACTAAAATTCTACATGACACTAAAATATAAAATAAAAGAAGTATCACATTAAACTCTAACTCTCAAGAAAATAAAAACATAATGACAATTGTATTTGTATAAGCGGCACCGTATACACGGCTGTATTGAGCCATATAATGTCGTATAGCTACCGTATATACGGCCACCTAGGGCGTATTTTAGAACACTGATTGATAGACATTTTGAATCTGTGCTAAGTAATGGTTGTTGACTATGTTTGGAACGTGTTTATTGTATGTCCAGTTGGCAAAGTTGATCTCTTCACTGAGTAAACCTGTTTTACTTACTCTTTTTCCTCTTTTTCTCCAGCTTAGTAAATTTCAAGAAGTTTTAAGTTTGTTTGTTGGTAAAATTTTAAGAAAGAAACGTTTTGGTAAGACCAGATAAATAAAATTCAGTTATGTCCTTTACAGCCGGACGGATATTATATTTTGCCTCCCTAACGGTGTTGTGGAACTCTCATGTTGTAGTTTCACTCATCTTCGCTAAGGAAAGTACTTCAGCCGACTGCTTAGCTTTGACAGCCCTTGTGGCTCTTTCCATTTCCTCCTCTCTTGGAGTGTAAAACATTGTTACTTTTAATCAAGTTCATTTTGCCCAGAAAAAAACGAAGGTATCCAACCAATAAAATTTCTAGAGTGGAGTCACGCGCCACAAGAGAGAGTAGGGAAAGAAGCTAACACAACTAAGCTTAGTGGATGCCACTTAACACAAATGACAACGTTGTTTTCCAATTTCCATGTTTACGCTATAGCTTCAGACAGTACCTGAAAAAGTGAGTTCGCCCAAAGACCAAAATTAAACAAAAATAACCAAAACTTACTCTCATTTCTTTATTAAATTAAGGTAAAATATCAATATCCTTAATTACTAAGATTTTTTTTTGAAATAGTGTTGTCGTTCTCGGTCCAAATTTCAAATTTTGACCTGAAGTCTCTTGTTTTTCTGATAGATTCTCCAGCTCTTGTCCTTTTTAACAGACCCTTAGGCCTCTCTCCTGCAGGTTAATGCACTGTCTTCACCATTTTCATTTATTTTCCCCTTAAAAATAAAATAAATATTAAATATTTTCTCAAAATTCACCATTTAAGAAGGCAAATTTGAGATCTTTCTTCTTCACATTAACTTGAGTGTCTCTCCTTCTTCTATTAACAATGGCGTCAATGCCATTGTACTGGCAACCACCACCAGCTACGGAGGTTCCACAAGACTCATCCTCCGTCTCCTCCGCCGGAAACTCCACCATTGGTCCTTTTATCGCCGTTTTTATCGTCGTCACCGTTCTCTGTGTTCTTGCAAGTGTTATTGGACGGCTTTGCTCCGGCAAAACCATCTTAGGGTATGGAGATTACGATATGGAGAGATGGGCTGAGAGTAGATGCGGTTCTTGTATCGACGGCCACATCATTCCTCACCGGCCGTCTCCGTCGCCTCCGCCTCGTCAGCCTTTGCACCACACTTCTTCCGGCGTCTCTGCTGAATCTGAGGGACACGTGGCAGATCTAGATGAGACTGATGGAGAGAAACAAGACTCTTTAGACCATGAGCCTCCACCACAAACACCATCATCAGCTCATTCTTGATTAGTTTTTCTCTTTTGATTCTTTTTTTTTTTTGTGTTGGTTAAAAGTTAGCCAATGTAATTGAAAATTTCACGAGTTCGATCCCAAAGCGGTCAAAGTTATTGAAAATGGCGCTCTAGATTTTGTTTTTTTTTTCTTTATGCACTTTTTATCTTTTAGTATTTGTGTTTTATACCGAAGATAAAAGAAAATTCAGAGGATAAAAGTAATGAAGGGACGTATATAAAGAGAATAATACACGGCTTGCTTAAAGTGCTTTTTTTCCTTATTGATTCTGATTACGTTTGATGCACCCAAATAACAGGATAGAGCAATGGGTACAAATAATAAATCAAGGAAATATTTAATAAGTACTATTGTTTAAGTTGGATTTGTAGCCGTTAAATCATTACTTCCATTTTCTTATTTGATTCTCGAGAAAATTAGCACTAATACCACATTTTCTTCAAATTCTTTCAAATCTACCACTTCTCCCTTCTCTTTTTCAAATCTACCATATTGCTAAACAAAATAACCAATTTACCCTCAAATCTATTTTTCTTACTTTATATTATTATATTATTCCTTTATTTTTTTTATTTTTTTTCTATATTTCTTCTTCTCTCTCTAAATATATTACATCTATCTTTCTTCTTTTCCCTTGAATCATACAATTAAAATAATTCCCCAAAAGGCAAATAAACGATCTGAACTTGTCTCCGATCTACTATTACTCATTCGATTGGAACTTGTCCCCGATCCAATTTTACTACTCATTCAATCTGAATTTGTCCTCGATATAATTCTATTATTCATTCGATTGGAACTTATCCCCGATCTAATTTTACTACTCATCATTCAATCTAAATTTATCCCCGATAAAGTGGTATTATTGATAGTTTTCCCTAATAATGATAAGTAATACCTTTATCGAGGACAAGTTCAGATAGAATGAGTAATAGAATTACATCGAGAACAAGTTATGTTCTCTTTATATAATCCTTTTTAAATTCAACACTATGTTAAATTCGGGGACACCTAGATATGATGGTTGTCGTTTTATTCGCAAGAGATCTGAACTTATTCTTGGGGGACATCATTCACTTTAATTCATAATTATTGTCCATGGTAAATGTAAACTGCATTTAATGCAATGTTTTGTCCTTCTTCTCTGACACAAAGCTGTCATTCTGACACAAAGGTGTCCAGCGTCTATTGTAGCTCCTTCTTCTGACACATTCCTGACGCAGGCAGAAGGGTAAAATCGTCCAAGCTCTACCACACTACCACACACAAGTGGTACAGCTGCTAAATTGATTTCTATTGTGGTACATTTGCTAGGGATTTTGAAAATTGTGGTAGATTTGCCAAAAATCCCTTGATTCTTTTAGTTTTTTTCTTTTTTTTTTTTATGAGATTTTTGCTCCATCTTCTTCTAGGCCAATATTCCTTGCAATTTTGATGTGTTAGAATCGAACATACCTCATGTCCTTTTTGAATATCCGCCTGCACGCCAGACATGGGCTTTATCACAGATTCCAACGGCCTCTGAAGTTTTTCCTTCAGGTTCACTATATGCAAACATGGATTACTTATTTTGCCGGATATCATCGAATGTTTATCATAGAAATGATAAAGTGTATAATAACGTGGATCAAAGTCCCCCTGAAATTTTACGGTTAGCAGAGAATGAAGAGCAAGCTTGGCAGTTAGCTCAGGGGGAAATAACGGATGACGTTTTAGACTCGGTCGGGGGGACTACCTATTCACACTCCATAAATGACGTTCCAGTGCAATCCGGGAATGGGTTTCGGTGTTTTGTAGATGGGTCATGGAAAGAGAGTGATCGATTTTCCGGGTTATGATGGTTTTGTTCTAGCCCGAATGATGGAACGCAAGATATGGGAGCTGCTAATCTTCGAAGAAGCTTAACCTCACTTCACATAGAGGTCGAAGCATTAATTTGGGCGATGAGATGTATGATCGACCAAGACAAGAGAGAAGTAGCTTTCCTTACAGACTGCTCCGACCTGGTGAAGATGGTGTCTTCCCCGCAAGATTGGCCAGCGTTCGCAACCTACCTAGAGGCGATTCAGAGTGACAAGGAAGAGTTCGACGTATTCTCATTATCTTTAGTTTCTCAAAATGGGAATGGAAAGCGGATAAACTGGCTCGAACTGTACGTACCCAACCGCATCTTATCACCTATGTAAACAATTTCCTCAACATTGACTTATTTGAGCCAATCTAATATAGCGGTTGACAAAAAAAAAATCGAACATACCAAGATTGTTACACATTTTCTATATTACAAATACAGGTTTTGTAAAAATGTCAACCAATTGTGAGGTCTTTAATAAAGTGATAATTAACTTCTATATGGTAGTTTTTTCCAGTGAACATCAGGTTAGAAGCAATATAAATTGCAGTTTGATTATTACTGTTTACAAAGTGATCTATAAGCCATGATTAAATTGGTTAAGATCTTCAAAAGAGACAAATGTAGATATTGAAGCACATCATTTCTTCTTACTTTTCTAATACATTCTCTATAGAAGCAAAACAAAATTAAATGTTTCTCTTAATGCTAGAATTGATTTTTCTAATTAAAATCTAGAGCATGAACATTTTGTGTCCAGAGGTGTTCAATAAAATATCAAAGTTTTCATACCTAACCAATAAGAATAGATTTGGGTGATTTGAATTTCATGTTTTTTTATTGCCTAATTGCAAATGGAAGTTTGATCTAATTAGGTTGTCAATAGAAGGAATATGATTATGGAAATGAGTTAATTTATTCATGTTTTGGAGTTGACTAAGATCAAGTCTAGAGGAATGGCACAAGTGCATACACCAAAAGAGAAGAGTGGAAGAACGATGGATGACCTCGACTGATCTGGCTGAAGTGAATGGATGCATGCCCACCACCATCAGTGGATAAATCAAACTTTGAGATCAAGCCGCTGTTCATTACCATCTTGCCACACATGTCATTCCGCTAAGGCCTTATGGAAGATCAGAACATATATCTTCAAGGGTTGATATCTAAAACACATTCCACATTAAAAAGGTATGGGTATAGTTTCATCGGGTCAAGTAGGTTTAAGGTCAATGAACCGGGTCGTCGCTAGAGTTAGGCCAAAGCTGGGCCAAAAATGAAATCAAGACATGGGCTTAAGCCCATAAGGTGTTATGTGGTTTTCTATTACAAAAGAAAAAATAAAATTCAAATCAATTTCTAAGTTGGAATAGTTGGTCTTACAAATTCTATATAAGCAAAGGATTCACAAATTGATCATCACAACATAAATAAGCAATAGAGAGACAAAGTTAGAGAGAGATATAGAGAGAATTTTTGGGTTTAGAGAATTCTTGATACGTTTTGTTTTTAAAGAGCTTCACGTTAGGTAGGTTTCTTGTTTGGTTGTTCTTGCGTTGAAGCAAGAGTGAATAAGTTCCAAGTTTGCTTGATTCTTCTAGAGGTACCTATTGGATAGAAACAAAGTGAGCGTGAGATAGAGAGATAAAGAGAATTGTATTGAAACTTATTTTTGGATTTTTAGTGGCTGTTTGCAAGAGTTGGTCCTCGCACGAGACGTACTCTCCAGTTCAGAGAGAAACTCGTTGATTCTTGGTGTTGATAGTTCTTGTTTCCGCATTCAAACCTAAACTACTAACTAAGGCTAATTAGTTTAATTCTTCGCAAAAGGTGATCAAACCAATTTTTTTCTACAAAATCATGAACCATTATCAGCCATGATATGGCACACGTAAAGTATACATTCAAGAACAAATCCACAAATACATCCCACCAAAAAAGATTACGACACATAGGAACAAGATTTTAATACTCAAGAAACATTTGTTTTGGATAAAGTAGATATTGACTCCTATTTAAAATAATTCTTCTCACCATCTGCATACTGTTTCTATTTCTATTTAGGATTTTACTTACCCTAAACTAAATCATTGTCGCTTCACCGGAGTTTCGAAGGAAAGAAGATTTAAACACCACCATCTATTTGTTCTGATTCAAGATAATTCATCTCTCTCCTATATCGTATTTGATTGGGGTTTATAGCCTCAGCAAAGGCGGCCAATAAAACATCTATGGTTCCTTCTACAGATATAACAGTCTATAGCTAGTGTCAAATTAACTCATGGCAAGTCTTTAGCCTCCAACCATATCCTCGGTAATTTTTTTTAATTAAAATAATATACATTATAATATTTGCTTGAACAAAGGTCAGTCTGATATCAAAGTAAATCTTATGTTTGATTTTCTGAAGGTTATGATCAAGAAAAATTTCAACACATTGATAGTTGTCATAAACCAGAATTCATCAAACATGGAGGTGTAGAATTTTTGTTCTTTTACACTGTTTTGGGTCATTCAGATCTTGAGTTAGGCTACATTTCATAAATATTTTCTTATCTCACACACATTCTTTATTATTTCATTATACGTAATGTCAAAATCATTTGATTGGAAAACGTTTGTTATTGTAAATTGCAGACAGAAGAATCTTTTTGCGTTATCGAAGAGAGGTGACCATCAACACCAACTTCTCAATATTTTTTAGTAAAGAAATCATATATACGAAAGTTGGTCAACTCTCTCCATATTAGTGACAAATCATCACACAAAAAATGACATGTGTCATTCAACATTATTTAAATTAAAAAATCAGCAAAATTAATTAAGGGAAAATCAAAAGTCTTCTATTGTGTTAAATCTTCCATTAATCTCATTCTTACATGATTTCTTCAAAATAAAAATAAAATTATAAGCTTATTTTCATAAATCAAACACTACTTTCATTTTACTTTTCTTATTTTTTTTTAATTTTTTAATTTAGTGGTCAATGGTTATCATTTGATAATAACTAAATAATTATTTTTGTTGTAGTTTAGTTGTTTGCTACTTAATATTTTATTAGTTTAGTAATTTTACCTTGAATATTTTCTCATTATTACGTTATGGTTCATATCTTATTATATGACATTCTCTCTTTTCATTTTTTTGTCTTATGGTAAGTTCGTAACGTTGACATGCAAATTTTTTCAAGTAATGAGTTTTTGAGGCGTTAGACATACCACGAAATTCATAACAAATCCATTTCTCTTATATGGCTGTATTCTATAGCATAAAATCTAAAAGTGTTACTTAAATAACTCTTTAATTTTTGTTTTTTTTTTCTTCTTTTCATACGACAACTCCTGAGATCAAAATATCTTTCTTTTTTTTCTTATTGTGTGTATTCATAATAGCGGACAA